AAAAAAAAAAAAATAAAAAAACAAAAAACTAAGATCTGAAATTTTCAAAAGAAATACGTCAGCAAACGGATTCGAATAAGGATGAGTTTTTAATGTTTAAGAAATGTGGCATTTAATCCGCCTAAACATCAGTGCAAATAACGTTAAAAACTTGCTACCTAAAAAATGTTTTATAAGTTGTTCTCGATAAAACAAAATAAAAATGTTTACTGGTTTCTACAACTATTAATATATGTATCTTCAAAACAGCAAAAAAAGCACTTTATTAGGTTAAATAACGAATAGTTTACGTAATTATTTAGCAGTATGGTTTTCGTACATTACAGTAACCAATAGGTAAATTGATACTTATCGATCAGAGTTATATTTTTAGATAAATAAATTGAATAAAAATTTCAGAATTCAAGCGGAAAATTTTGAACCCTAACACAAAAATTGAAGCTTATTAACTGTCTAATTGAAGCTCGATTATGTAGGAGAAGGATTTAGTTTGATATACTTTCAGAAGCTTTGCTTTTAGATGCTGTCGTGAAAGAAGAACATGAAAAGAATACAGAGTTAACAAGAAGCTGGAAGTTAAAATGTGTTTCGTTGTTGACGTTGTAGACCTTGTCATAAATAAAATTTTTGTTTTTATTTTTTTCAATTGAAAAACAACTTTAGTTTAAATTTCTCCCACTTCAGCAGATTCTTTTGTCTGATTAGCTAATAGAAGTGTCAACAACATTCGATTACAAAAGAGCATAATGCTTAGTTAACTTAAACTGAAGGTCATTTTGCATTAAAATATTATTTGTTCTCCGTTTCAATAACATCCCTCTAACAGAATAATACATAAATAAAAGTAAAAAAAAAGTTTTTTTCTTTTCCACAGAAAGATGTTGGCAGATGGTTTTAGAACTTTCTACTTGTATAAATTAAGTAAATTTAACTTATTATTTCTTCCTAGTCAGTGACAAAAATCTTACTTAACAAATAAATTATGTTAACGTTTTATAAAATGTATCTATAATTTACGTAAAAATTAGAAGAAGCAAATTAGAGCTGCTTTATGCATAAGTGGTATAAGAAGCAAAGAGTACAGTATTAAAGTTAGCAAAAAAGATAGAAAAAATAAGAATATTTTGGTAGATGCAAAACAGTTAAAAACAAAAATGAGTTTAAAAAAATAGAAGAAGTAATAAGCAGAATTTTCTGACATCTAACAGTATTTTTAAAAATGTACAACACTAGTTCTATACGAATTGCTAAGACTAAGATTCTTATTGTATTTTTGTCAAGAAGTTAGCTAAGCCTTAAAAAGTTGAATAAAAACACAGTTTTACCACTTTTTTCATCGTCAGTCAAGTTCACAAATTTCGTTATCAGATACTCATAGAAAAATACAAACATATACTGATAGAGCCGGAAAAAGTTAAAACGATTGGGGGCACTTGAAAAATTTGTAGCTATGCAACCAGCAAGCAGTTTTATGTGGGCTGCACAGCATGAAGTTTGTAGAGAAAACCATTTATCTTCAGACTGTTGAGTTCAATTCGCAAATTTGTTTCAGTCGACTGATCAAAACTAATAAACAAGACCTTAAAAGTCTGTTTCTCGTTATTGTTGCTGTTGTTGTTACCACGCCTTTGTTAAGCATATCACTCTGAGCAATCAAGCGCCAAGATTTAGCAACTCATTATAACTAAGTTAGAGCGATTGTTGAGCTGTCAGGACAGAAGAGTGGCAGTTAATGACAAATAAGTTAAAAAATAAAAGCGAGTGGGTTTTTGTATTGTTAAAGAAAGCTAAAACGCCAAATATTTAACCTTTGCCTTTTTTTATACTGTTATTCTCCTTAATTTTTTTATTTAATATGAAAAAAAGCAGTGTCTATAGAGCATTTTGTTTGTTAATCTTTACGTTTAATAATCTATAAATATCAGCTCAATTTTGTTTATCACTTTTTTTTTTTTTTGCAATTGTACTTTCAAATTGTTTAATAATATAAAAATGACATAAATCAGCACAGAGCCATCAACATGAAAAGAGTTTAATTTTTTATCACTTAAAAGTCAGAAACTTAATCAGATGATCAAAAAAACCTGATAGACACTTTTTACGCTTTTTAAACTATATATTTCTTATTTTTACAAAAGTATTACTACTAACATTTAGAACAGTTATACCGTCAGAAGTTCCATCATATGTCAATCAGTCTTTCAAATACCTGAAGATTGGGTGCCACTATGGGTGCCATCATTTGGTTAGGTGGTCAATTCACATCTATTCGGCAGACAGTTTTTTTCCCATTCACGAAACAGCAGTCATTTTTTATCACAAGAGAAATTCTGGTTTTGAAAGGC